CCCAGAAAAATACATATATAAAAAAATCCCAGTAATGATATCGGAGGAAGCCTCAATGAAACACCAGTCACTGGCTTGGCCGAGTGACTCATCAGAGGCTGCATGGGCAGGGTGATGTGGCCCTTATGGTATGACAGGGGTGTGACAGGTGTGACGGGGGTCTTGTGGGTAGCCTGCAGAAGAGCAATTCTGAGATGTGTATTAAACAAAAGCAATATCCCTTCTCTGACGCCTCTGCTTCCTGTGGGAGAAATCCAGGAGCACCCAACTGCTGAGACCTCTGCGGTCCCACGCTGTCCAAACATGCTTTCTCCCATGATCCTCGTGCATGTGTGTGTTCTCACTGGGGAACGTGTGTGGCTGTGCTTAGGTTTCTTCTGTCACCAGAAATCTAGAGAGCACTGCAGGGGCGATGGAGGGGCTCAGCTGATGTCTTCAGAAACCCCGGCTCCTGTCTTTCTGGCCTGACACTGTTAACTTGCTGCTTATGGCCTCATGTTTGCAAGACAGATGCTGTTGATCCAGATACCTTGTTTTTATTCAAGACACCAGGAAAACGAGGAAGAGTTGGCAAGGCACCAGGTCTATTTGTCCATTATTTCAGGAAAAACGGAAGCTCCCAGGAACTGTCTGGGTTGTGGCCAAGGCTATGTACGTCACGTCTCTAACTGCCACCTTTGCTGCCGAGGAGTTGGGAGAGGCAGGCGTTGCTTTGCCTCTACTCTGAAATGGGAACAGCAAGGGAGAAAGGGGTTGGGTCAGCCAAAAAAAAAAAAAAAAACAGTATCTGCCGCAACCACCTGGAGAGAAATCATAGAAAAATGAACTGGGCAGCCTAACGCAGAGGGGAGAGCCCCACGGGCTGTGAGAAGGTGGGTGAGGCAGCACCACACTGGAGTGCAGGAGTGGCACAGGATGGCTCCTGGGCGATTGAGAAGGGGAGCTCAGAGAGGAGCCTGATTGAAAAGCCTGATCTCCCGCGTCGATCTGTGTTACCTCTAGCAGCTGAGGCCGGCTTCTTCACCTGGTACTGGCCTGCCTCAGTGCGTCTCTGCCAGCACCTTTAGTTACCTGTAGACAAAGGAGGAATCTGGAATAATTGTGTTCTGGGCCTCTGATAAGGAAAGGAAAAGGATGACCACTCAAGTTCTTACACTGTGATATTTAAAGGGAACTGGCCCAGGAGACCGGAGATCTAACGCTATTGAAAAGCTAGTGCCAAGATACTCTAGGATCCTGGCTAAGTCACCTTCCCGTACCCATCAAGTGCAGGCTTGGATCAGATGATTTACAGGGACTCTACAAGCCCCAGGACACAAGTGTTACTCCTTTGTCTCTTTCACTTGTTCATTCATTCATTCAAATACTTTTTAAGGGCCTAGTATTGCCCAGTACTGTTTTAGGTGCTTGGAATATATCAATCAACAAAAGCCAGGATGCCTGCCCTCCTGTGGGTCTTAGATTCTTTGTGTGTGTGTGTGTGTGTGTGTGTGTGTGTAAGGCGAGAGGCACAACAGTAAACACAAAGCATGGGAAGGCAGCGCTGAGTAAGCACAGCGTGTTGGAAGGTGGTCACGTCTGTGGGGGACGCAGGTGCGGGGGGAGGAGGAGCCCTGGTAGTGCTGGAGGGAGGCCGCAGTGATCCTCACTGCGCAGAGGCTTCTGCCGGGGAGGGGGCAGCTTGCTCGTCACTGGGAGCTGCTGCAGGCAGTCGGAACTTGCCGGGGAGCACACACCCAAAGGCATAGGTGTGCCTGGGTCTTGTGGGCATTTCCTTCCCCCCTCTTCGTCCTGGTCTGCAACCCTTCTTACCCCAGTACTGCAGCTTCCTTTCAGCTTGTTGGTTGTCAAACCAGCTCAAAGCTCTCTGGACTCCAGGGCTATGTAAACTGGACCCTGATGTGATGGTCGGGGTCACCGAGCGTGGCTGTCGCTTTCATCCCTGTCCCTCATGCACACTAGAGGAACACGCAACTCCTAGGAATACTGGGGCAGTGGGGGTAGAACGTCCAGCTGGGAGACATTGGTGTCTTGATTACAATTGCACAGGGACCTTTGGAGCCCATCCACCAGTTCCAGACTGTCCTTACTGTTTCCTGTTTAATGTCTCCTGCACAGAGTGACTCAACATTTTCATCATGTTCCCAAACAATCGTCTTTGTCTATCAGCCATAAAACCCCAGGTACAAGAGAGCTGTGTTTTCCTCCTGTACCGTTACTGCTCCTGAGCCGGCCTGAAATATGTGGGCTGAGCTTTGCCCACTAGCTCCGGAAATGACCTCACTGGGCAAAGCAAGAGCCTGTGGGAAAACGCAGTATTTGCTGGGCTGTGCAGATAAGTGGGAGTGTGTATGCGTTTAATGACAAGCTTTGAGCACATCTTGAAACAAAACAAAAAGAAGACAAAAGGAACCTTCTTCAGCTGTGCTGTACACAGAGCAGTTCCTTGCAATCTGAGGCCAGTGGTTTTGTGAAGATGCATTGTTACCGCCCGTTGTACTGAGAACTGGTAACATTTCAAGAATCCCCTCTGGTGCTAGTGTGAAGTTGCATGTGCCCAGTCACCTGCTGCAAGGTAGATTGCTCTTTGGATAAGAAGCTAGGCCACTTAGGAAGCCCTCTCCACACTGTACAGGGCTTTGCCCAAATACCAGGCTTGGATGTCACCCGTGCGATATTCTAGGGAATGATTCAGCATAAATTTCATAGTTCTCTTCCGAGTATCTCTCTCTTTCATGTGGCCTTGACATTTGCTTGAGGAGAGTGGCAAGGAAATATCACTTGGATCCCGGTGATCTCAGGGAGGTTACAAATGAGAATTTCCAGGAATGCACAACATGCATGAGGCATATAAAATGAGAGATTGTTATGCAGTAAGGGCCTGATGTCCAGTGCACATAGAAGCTGATTGTTTGGTTCTGACTTTTGAGAGAACAAAGGTAAGGTCAATTGGCAAGGAGAAAAGGGGACATGACTCATCTGTCTCCCTACTCTGGGGTCTGGGGTGGGTTTTATGGGTTAGGGTGGACAAGCTGGGATGGGGAAGTGTTGGCAAGACAAGATCTGATTGAGAAGCTCCAGTACCAGATCTTTCTGGGCTGCAGCCCACTCTCCTCTTCAGTTCCACTCGTTCTCTGGCTCCTTGGTTCCAGAGAGCAGGAATATGGGCTCCAGGCATTAGTTAAGGTTGAAGTCTTCCTCCTCTGCACACGCCCAGGTTACATGACTTGCATTTGCTGTATCTCAAGACAACTGGACATCCTGTTGTTGCCACAGTCAAAGCAGCTAGGTCTGGTTCTGCGGTTATTTGAGGGTGAGACTCGATCAGAATGCAGGCCATTGAACCAAATTTTGTATTAGGTTTTCTTAGCAATCTCCTGGGAAACTGAAGTGGCAAGCAGCCTTTTCGGGTTTGCTAACCTGCATTTCCCCATCTCTTGATTTGCCCCCTCCCATGCAATACTTAGATACCTCTGAGTCATAGATAGAGTGAAGGGGAATTGCGTTATTGTAGGCAAAGATTGCATAGGCAGAGGTGGAGGCATTGGCCTGGAAAGTGCTGATCAGAGCATAAACATCAGTCTAAGCATAAGAAAGGATATAAGGGCATAAGGATACTATGTTATTACTCCACTTGGAAGATATTTGTGGCCGGTGCCGCATCTCACTAGGCTAATCCTCCGCCTGCAGCACCGGCACACCGGGTTCTAGTCCCGGTCAGGGCGCCGGATTCTGTCCCGGTTGCTCCTCTTTCAGTCTAGCTCTCTGCTGTGGCCCGGGAGGGCAGTGGAGGATGGCCCAAGTGCTTGGGCCCTGCACCCCATGGGAGACCAGGAGGAAGCACCTGGCTCCTGGCTTCAGATCGGCCTAGCGCGCCAGCCGCAGCGGCCATTGCTGGGTGAACCAACGGAGAAAGGAAGACCGTTCTCTTTGTCTCTCTCTCTCTCTCTCTCACTGTCTAACTCTGCCTATCAAAAAAGAAAGATATTTGTTCATCCACTCAACAAAATACACTAAACACCCATTACTGCACTCAACTATATTCTAAATACTGGAGATACATCAGTGAACATCACCATTGGAGAGTCTCCCTGCCTTTATCTTACTAGGATAAACCAAATGAAATTGCTGGTTGTATAGGTTGGAAATAATTGAATATACCTAGCACCCACTGTATGATCCAGCTGTCCCACTCCAAGGCGTTTATTTAAAAGAATAAAACTGCATACCCAAAGACTGTACCACTGTTCCTTGCAGTTTTATGTGCAGTAGCCTGACTTGGAGATAAGTCAAGTGTCCATCAACATGCAAATGCATGATTCAGCTGTAATGTGTCCAGATAGTGGACTACTACTCAGCAACAGAAGAGGGGGCAGTACTGATCGGTGCAACCTGGATGGGCATTCTGCTGAGTGATGGAAATGGGATGCAAAAGACCACTTATTGCATGATTCTGCTTATATAAAACTGTAGAAGATGCAAACTAATCCATGGTGACAGATCAGTGGTTACATAGGGACAGTGGAGTTGGGGATATGGGCAAGGAGGAAAGGAGTGGGGGACTCCGAATGGACAAGTGTGGTATTTTGGGGGTGGTGGGTATGTTTGCGACCTTGATGGTGGTGGGTTCACAGAAGCCTATATATGTCATACTTTACCAGTGGCATGTCTTAAATATGCTTGGTTTATTATTTGACAGCTCCAGCTCAATCAAGATGTGAAACACAGACAAATAGCAGCAGAGATATGATTCGAGTGACAGATAATTTCAATGATGAATTAATTTTTAAAGCCATATGCTTTTTATGCATTTATTGGAAACTTACATGGCGTGTCAGGCACCATGAAAGACGTTGTCAGTGACGAGTGAGCGAGGCTGCTCCTGCCCTGCAGCTTGGTTAAAAAGGCCTTGGAGTGCAGTCCTGATGTGGTGACCAGTGGAGTCAGGCTGTCGTGCGATGCTGGAATTTATGCGTGGCTGTGCCTTCCTTGTTTTTCAGAGTGACCTGTGGTCTCTGGGAATTACCGCCATCGAGATGGCAGAAGGCGCTCCCCGTAAGTACCTTCCTCTGCGGTGAACTGTGCTGCTGGTCCGCTCTGCGGGCGCTGAGGGGTCCTTGCCAGGAGCTGCAGTGGCTTTACTTCCACTACACTGCGCCCTGCATGCCTTTGAGCTGGCAGAGTTAGAAAGCAGAGGCTTCTGGTCAACCAGGAATCCATTCATATTAGAGCAGCCCAAGCATCTTGCCTTTACGAGAACAAAGAGACAAAGCAAACTTTGGGGAGTCCTGTTTGTTGTGCAGATCGTGTAGCTTATTCTTTGAACTGCTTTTCACCTAGCGTAGAACTGTGACCAACCCACAAAGACTGCAAAACTCCAGCATACAAACAGCCAAAGCCAATTGCTAGTGCACTGGTTCAGCAAACACACAGTCAGGAGCTGTCACTCCTCCTCCAATTTTGCTCTTCAGAAGCTGAGATCACCCTGCTGTTCTTTGAGACAGAGTAGCCAGAGCCCTGGGGCCGTCTTGAGAAGCCCTGGGGTTCCCAGAGATCCGGGGCACTAAGCCCTGGGGTTCCTAGGGATCTGGGCACTAAGCCCTGGGGTGGCCGTGAGGATGTGCTTCCCCGCAGGAAGGGGAGCTGACCACGGCCCCAGCGGCTCAGCAGCACTGCCCTCACGCCCCCCAGGGCCACGGTCCATCAGTGGCCAAGAAGGATGTGGGTACTGGGCAGAACCTTACTCGGAGGCTGCAGGGTCCTTTGCAGGCAGCTGTCTCCCTGGTAATCCCCAGGACTCTGCTGACCTTGCCTGCAGTGTGGGACACTAGGACACTTCACCTGCCCTCCCCCCCACCTCCTGTCCTAAAGACCAGACCCGCATAGTGAACTGGGGCTCTCCTACCCTTATTGGCTGTCTCTTTCCTTGGACACAGGAACATTCCCCAGGTATAGCCTACAGGCTTCACATCCCCTTGGTGTCTGCCTCTCAAAGGACCAGGACTGAAACAGGCCCTGCAGCTGCCTGACAGGTGGCCGACGCTCCCGACTTCAAGTTAGCATAGTCGTCTTTTCTCTCGGTCTAGCGTTGGTAGAACTCATCAGGTGATAGACTTTGAGTGTTGACAGCTCCCCTCCATTCACACTACTCATAGGCATTTATGCATCAGAGAAATAGTCTGTTGCCATCTGAAAACCATATTATCATTCTTGATGAGTAACAGACAGGGCTAAAAATAAGCTTCTGCCCACAGACTCCCTGGGCTTTTAGGAAGCATATATTCTTATTCTAGGTACAAGGAAAAGATATCCCCAGATGTTTGAAAAGTAAGCTAATAAAATATTTCAATTAAAATAAGGTATGCCTGTTTTCTCTATTAATGAGTGTCAAGTTTGCAATAGCTTTGTTTTCTGCAGCTCTCTTTGAGTTAATCCTCTGGTCTTCCTGGGGCCAGTGAGTTTAAAGTCAAAACCCTTCGTGAAACTGAAAAATCTACTTGGGAAATCTAGAAACAGAGAGAATGTTGTTCTGGGCTAGCACTTTGGACTCCAGAAATCTGTGCAAATAACATTGCAATTGCATGGACTTTCAGTATATTGGATATAGATTGCAGGTTATCAAATATCTTTTCTTTTATGGCCTAGGCTTTTGCTAATTGAAAGGAATGCACCTGTCATTGGTGCAGTTGTCATCGGTTTCAATGTCAGATGGTTTGTTTACTGCAGAGATGGCTAGGGGCAGACCCTTTTACTCAGTTCCCTTAAATGTAAAATAAAAGAGCGGTCAGTGAAAAGACCAACAAAACAGCAGAAACATGGTGTATTTATGGGGCTCCTACAATTAGGCATGAGCTCTTTTAAATGCTTGCCAAGTGGAAGCTTCTGGACCTTGTGAGTCAAGGCTCACTGGTCGCGTGTGGACTCATTTGGCAGCATTGTCTGCACAGCCAGGCCAGGCTCGGCCTGGGTTTGGCTCCCTAGCGAGCTGGCCCTTGTTTTGGTCTCTTGCAGCTCTCTGTGACATGCACCCCATGAGAGCCCTCTTCCTCATCCCCCGGAACCCAGCACCTCGGCTGAAGTCCAAGAAGTGGTAAGTTTGCTCTTCGGTGTTTTTGCAGCTATAAGGGTGAGATTTTTCCGATGGTTCTCTTTTGCGTTAGCTGGAATCCCAAGGCACTGCTGGCAACAGGAGACTAACATACACTAAGACTTGATTGATAGCTGGCTTTCCATATGCTGTCATTCATCTAAAGTACACACAGAGCACCTGCTATTTGTAGAGCGAGTCTTATTCCCATACCTTCAAAGTGAGGAGCTATTAGCTGCAGTGGGTAGTGGAGACCAGGTAATAACACAGTCGCTCTTTGATTTATGACCTCAAGTGTTATCTTTCCCAGCAGCATGGAGCATTGTATCAGAAGATGGCAGTTTATCGCGTCATCCGAGTAGATTGGCCGACTTGTATTCCTTAATTCTTTTAGTGCACATACACACCTGGTGCTGTTTGAAATGATATCTGCAGCATGTGCATAACCATTTGTGGATTTTTGTTTTAACTCTTGCTTACTCTGGGTTGCAGATGCTACAGCTGGCTTCTTATTTTGGGCAGTATTATAACGTTTCGTTGTAACAGGCACACTCCCCTAAAAAGGTGACTTAATTGAAAGAAAATGACTATATGAAGGCTGCTATGATAGTGTGAGGCTGTAGCCAAATTGTGTGCATAGGATGTGATCGACTGAAGTTGGGAAACTGAATTCTACAGGTTGAGCCACGTGTTAGACGGTTGACTTTGTGGTGTGACTTACCTTGGGGTCTCTGTTATCAATCTGTTGCAAAAATTCATTGCTTCCTCCTTTCTCCCTATGGAAATGGTATATCTTTTTGATAACGTTTTTTTCTTTTTCAAAACAAATGAGAGGCAGAGAGAGGAAGAGCTTCCATCTGCTGATTCACTCCCCCAAATGTCTGCAAAGGCTACGGTTGGGGATCAGAGCTGGTGGCAGGGAAGCCAGCTTGAGCCATCGCTGCTGCTCCCGGGGTCGGCTTTAGCAGGGAGCTGGAGTCGGGAGCCGCAGCCAGGTATTGAACCCAGCCACTCTGATGTGGGCTGTGAACGTCTTAACCACCAGGCCTGGTCTCTGCCCTGCCCCAGCCCTGATACAAATTCTTGAAACTCTGATTCTTCTTGCACTTGAGCCAATGCCTGCAGCCCTTTTTCTAGAAACAGTTCCTGGGGAGTTAGACCAGGAGGGCACAAGACGCTTCTGCCCCTTTTCATCGCCCTTGCTTGGGGGGTCCCCTGTTTCCCAACTTTGGGGTGAGCCTGCACCGTACAGAGAGAAGCCTTAATGACTGCGTCACATAGAGCTGGCATAGCAACACTGGTACAACACAGAGAGGGGGAAGGAGACAGCCGAAAAAGAGGCGACAGCCTCCTGGTTGCCGGGCCGGCGGAGCAGAGCCTGAGTTGCTATTGGTGACGAGGAGCCTGAGCATTCGTCGTCTGTTCCTTCCTCCGGGAGGGTCACTGTGCAGGAGCAGCCTCCTTTCCCCAGCAACAGCCTTCCACTGGGCACTGCGTGTCACGTGATCCGCAGAGCACCCCCGAGGCCCTGCCCCCGCTCTCCTCCTGGGTCACACTCCCCGGGAGAGGAGCCAGCTCCACGCGCTCCCCGGAAGCCACAGAAACACTGCAGAGCCCCTGCTAGGCTGCTCCCGGTGCCGCGAGCCAAGGCTCCACGAGGAGCCTGCTGGAAGCCGAGCCGCTCCCTCCACTGCTGCTCAGTAGCTCTTTCGGGGTTTTACGTGAATGAGGACAACCGGGCCAGCTGCAGGTGTGTGTGCACTCAGGCACGACGTGGCCACACATTGTGCGTAAAATCCTTTGTGTCCATTGCCAGCACTTAACACCCCAGTGAAGGGGCGCTGCATTTAGATGTCCTCCCTTTATGTGGGCACAGCAGCATCGCCCTGCTAAGGAGTGGCTCCTACTGCCAGGGAGGTTGGTCAAGGGATTGTCCTTCTGCCCTGGTGGCCCGTGTCAGCTGGCCATTGCACTTGGGCCATTCCCAGCTTACTGTGGGGTAGGCTGCCCTTGGTCCAGCCCAAAGAAGGGAGGGTGAACAGCCCCTGCGTTCTTGAATGGTCAGCTATGCCTGACCTTGTTTGGGGTAACACAGGCTGACTTTTCTGCCTTGAACCACTGACAAGTGTAGCTGGTTCTGATGGCATGGGGGGTGGGGGTGGGGGGGTTGCCTAAGAAGCCAGGGAGGCTGAGTCGCAGTGCCTCCTGCCCTTTGCACATCCGTTGCTGACTTGAAAGCCAAGTGGGAGCCCTGTCCTGGGGGTGCCGGGGAGGGAAAGGAGCCTGACTGTGATCCTGAGTGGGGGCTGCCAAGCCTGACTGTGCTCTTCCCCACTTGGACCCCAGCTTTTACAAAGGAGGTGTGGCCTTGGGACATCTGACATACCACACTGCAGGTGCTCCCCACCCTCACCCTGTCCCCAGAATTCCAGTTAATTCCAGTTTTTACATGCAAATCCCTGCACACTTCAGAGTGCTTCATCTGAAAAGACTGGGTCCAGCATGAGGGGGGTGGGTTAGGTTGGCTTGGCTTTCACAGGCCCTGGTCCCTGGGAGGAAATAAAATGTCTTATGTAAAATCATTTAACATTTTCATCTTACTTGAAAGGCAGAAGGAGATAAGCGAGATCTTCCATCTGCTGGTTCACTCCCCAAATGTTCACAACAGCCAGTGCTGGGCCATGCCAAAGTCATGAACTCGGAACTCGGTCTGGGTCTCCCACATGGGTGGCAGGAACCTCCCAGGGTGGCCATAAGGAGGCAGATGAATTGGAAGTGGATCCAGAACTCAAACCAGTATGGAACGCAGGCATCCTGGGTGCGGCTTAACCACTGAGCCAAATTCTTGTGCCTTCTTTTCAATTTTTTTCTTAAAAGGGATAACCTCCCCCATACACAGCCCAAAATGGTCTCTGATTTCCAGCTGTTCTCCCCCACAAAGGGGTTGTCAAGTCGAGTGCACTGTTCCTGGTGTAGAAAACATCATGCTGAGTGAAATAAGCCAGTCCAAAAGGGACAAATATCATATGTTCTCCCTGATCGATGGCAACTAAACGAGCATCTAAAATGATACCCATTGAAGTGAAATGGACACTATGAGAGACAATGACATGATCAGCCCTTGTCTAGACTGTTGAGGAACAACTTACTATTTTATTCCTTTTAGTATTTTTGTTGTTGTTGTTGTTGCTCTGTTTGTTCTACATAAGACCACTGGTTGAACTCTGTAATCAATGCACAATCATTCTTAGGTGTTTAAAATTAACAGAAAAATGATCTCTGTTAAATATAGGAGTAGGAATAAGAGAGGGAGGAGATATATAGGTTGGCACATGCTCACTCGGACTTACCTCCAATGGTGGAACTAGAAATATGCCAGGGGATTTCAACACTGTCACCTTGGTGGAAATGGGGCTGAGCAGTTTTCAGCGTGGACATTCCATGAAGGTCATTTCCAGCCAGCATTACTGACTGTATTCTCGCTATGAACAGTTTGTTCCCTGTGCTTTTCAGGCTGGGGAGAGAAAGGATCCCAGCACCACAGCGGGAGTCTTCCTCCTCTTGCGTTAGTGCCGAGGGAGCATGGAGGCGAGGGCGCCGCCGCGTGCCCAGGCAGCCAGCTGTTTGAAGGGCTGAGCAACATTGGGATCAGACCCTCTGTCTCCAGCCGCCCCGCCCTAGCCAGTGAACAGCGTGGCTGGGATTCCCTTTTCCCCCTTGGGGCCCCCAGGGGTGGGTGGATTTGACCCGCAGGGGCAACCCGTAGCCTGCAGAGTTTCTCTCTTCCTTTCCCTTCCATGGCTGCTTACGTGTGCTCACCTGGCCCTGCAAGAGCACCCAGGCCCTGGCTTCCCTGTGGGGGCTCTGGAGAGGGTTGGGGATGACTCTGTAAGCAGGCGGTCAGGCGGATCCTCCCGTGTGCCCTTTCAGTGAGAAGAAAGTCGGAACTAATCAGGGACGCGGCGCCCCCTGGTCCCTGTGGGCCTGCAGGTGCAACCTGGAGCTCAGGGAGGGTGTGAGGCCTGTGCCTAGCCGGCTCCTCCCCAGGGAGCCAGCCCACACCCAGCGCTTACGCTCACCCTGTTGGTGAACGGAGCCCCAGTTCTGGCACTTGCTGGGTTGGCAGGCACTTTTAAGAAATGCCAACGCTCTTTTGTGTATGTCCTAAATAAAATAATGACAATGCTAAGCCAGGCTCAGGAAAACACTCCCAAGAGGCTGGATTGGTGGCTGTGGCCCTTATTAAGATCAAAGCAAAAACTGCTATGCACACTTTAGTTTTGCACGGTCTCCTATTGACTCTTCCTGATCGCCAGTCTAACCCAAATATGGGTCAACTAATTTCAGTAAAGGACTCCCTACAGTCAGTGCACCCCAGCGGAACATTCTGGCCTACAACAGGCCCCACAGACTCTGGTGGGCCTGTAAGATTAGATGGCCTTGGGACGCCACTGCCATTTGCTTGGCACCAGTGAACCCTGTGATGTTCACACAGCAGTGAAATCGCCTCTCGCAGCACGATTCCCAGGGACTGAGCAGCACTGGGCCGGGTTTACTCAGCTCCGCAGAAGTGGGGGAGAAGCAGCTTCAGATTCCCACGCCCCAGTCCTCCACGCTCTGTTCCTTAAGCCTGCCGATGGTCAGCGGCGCATGGTCACCACGGTTATGATAGGAATGGTAGCAAACACACAGTTAGCACTTGGGATGCCAAGCCCCATTCCCAGGCTTCTACACGAATTGCTTTCTTGGGATGGGTGCTGAGAACTCTTCACTTCTAGTCAGGGACACCGAGGCACAGAGCAGTTCAGCCACTTGCCCCTGGGGCAGGGCCAGGGTGGGTCTTGAAGGTCACGTTGCTTTTAGGGAGTCTGATGATGACCCAGAACTTTTAGCCTGACTGCTGATCATAGCTTACTGTGACCATCTTTTAGACATTTGGAATTCCTCCAACACAATTTTACAAGATAAATCTGGGTGGTAGAATTAGTGTACCGATCTTTAACATTTCTCTTCTGGCCAGCCAACCCTCAGGAAATTAGTGCTACTGATTTTTTTTTTTAAGAGACCACTAAATTAGCAAAGTCATGCAATAAAGTTATACAAATGGACTTTGAACTCATTAGAACAGTTGTCAACACAGGTGACGTATTTTCCCGTTTAACTAAATGTGTGATTAAGCATATTGATTCCCCAGCCACCCTAACTTAAGGAAGAAACAAGGAATCTTTCTTGGCAAACATGTTTTAAGAAACGAAGCGTTATTTTCTCTTCAGAGGGTGCCACGCGGGGAAGACGTGGGAAGCATCCGCAGCCCCGTGGGTTTGCTTGGTGGCCCCGCGGGCCCGGCGCCAGTCTCTGGAACACTGCTCCCCCTAAGAGACGTCCTGGAGGAGGGGCTGTCCCACAGCTGCCTCCGCTAAGCTCTGAACCCTACGCCATCCTGCAGATCTGGCCACTTGTCTGCCTCCTTTCTGGATGTCAGGAACAGCTCCAAGTCGATCTCATCGCTAAATTGGATGTGATTCCTTTTATTTTCTCAACCTCTAATTAAGCCCCGCGCTTCATCAGAAAACAACAAGCTCTTTGCCTTGGTCTGCAGCAGGAAAAGGAGCACTAGCATTTGCACTCCTTGTGAATATGTAACAGCTTCCTGTCAATTCACTGTTTTCATGGTCTTAAAAAATGTGTTTACTAGGCTAATCCTCCGCCTTGCAGCGCCGGCACACCGGGTTCTAGTCCCAGTCGGGGCGCCGGGTTCTGTCCCGGTTGCCTCTCTTCCAGGCCAGCTCTCTGCTGTGGCCCGGGAGTGCAGTGGAGGATGGCCCAAGTGCTTGGGCCCTGCACCCCATGGGAGACCAGGAGAAGCACCTGGCTCCTGCCATCAGATGAGCGCGGTGCGCCAGCCGCAGCGCGCCGAACGCGGCGGCCATTGGAGGGTGAACCAATGGCAAAAGGAAGACCTTTCTCTCTCTCTCTCTCACTGTCCACTCTGCTTGTCCAAAAAAAAAAAAAAAACATGTGTTTACGTATCTGAGAGGCAGAGAGGGTGAGCAGGAGAGAGAATCTCTTCTGTTCCCTGGTTCATTTCCCAAATGACCCCAGTAGCCTGGTGGGGCCAAGCTGAAGCCAGAAGCCTGGAACTCCACCAGGTCTCTCATCTGGGTGGCAGCGGGCCAAGCATTTAGGCCACCTGCTGCTACTTTCCCGGGAGCATTGGCAGGGAGCTGGGTCAGAAGAGGAGCAAGCAGGCGGGACTTGAACCAGCGCTCCACAATGGGATGCTGGCATCTCCAACAGTGCTTCAACTGAACCACAAAGCCAGCCCAACCTTGTCTTTTTGATACTGGTTTCCTACCGAGAAAACCACTGTGTTTTTTGACTATTTCTTATTGCAGTTTCACTCATTCTCTTTGGTCTGCTCCTATGGAGTGGCCGTGATCTCAAGAGCTCAAGGCAGGTTTCTTGCAGGGGGTGGGAGGGGGTGGGGAGGAGGGAATACCATTTTCCACTTTTCACCGCAGCGGGACTGAGAAAGAAAATGTGGTCTCGTCTCCGAAGCTCCTTCCTGCCCCTCACACGCGTGGATTTGAAGGCAGTCCCGGTCCAGCCCTTGCCCAGAGCGCTCAGCCAGCCAGCACCCCAGGCAGGGGGAGTTCCGGTGACACAAGGATGGCTCGGGCACATCCTGACGCAGCCGGAATGCTGAGGCTGGGAGACATGGGCTCAGGGGCTGAAGTGCTGTCCCCAGTGGCCATGAACTATGTCTCGTCCACAGTGTGGCCAGTCCTGATTAATCCTGGGTAACTTCAAGCACAGTAGTTTCCTTCCCTTCTAAGTCAGATGTTGTCAAAGCTTGAACATTATCTTGGAGACTTAGGGCCAATTATTCTTGGCTTCCAAAAACATGGAATAAGGTGAGAAAGTGCTTTGACCTGGGCAGAATCAGAGCCGTGCACATGGGATTCAAGTGGGTTTGAATCTTGAGGAATGTGCTCCTGACCGTGTTCTGTGTGGTCCGGACACTTAGGGGGTCTGAAATGTGTGTGTGTGTGTGTGTGTGTGTATGCGTATGCGTGTGCGTGCACGCACCTGGATTGGTGCCTGTTGGGAAGCGTGGGAAAGCATGGGAAAGAGGATCCACTGGGATCCACTCCTGTAACTCCACAGTGCACCACACGAGGGAGACAGAGAGCACACAAAACGGATTGTCCTCTTCGCTGAGCCAGGGTCGCCTTCACTGCCCAGCTGAGGTCTTTCGGTGGGGGTGTGCAGCTCTGGGCTGTCACTGCGGCCCTTGAAAGGCATGCGGTAGTAATCAGCTTAATGATTCCACGACTCCAGACAGTTTCTCAGAACCTCCGCAGCAGCGTCCGTGCCCGAGTCATGAATGCTGGCTAAAGTCCGCTCTAGTTTCTGCCACCTTGCAGACTTGCTGCTCTGTCAGTGGGGCGGGAGCTCCCACCGGCATGCCCAGCCTCTGGGTGTCTGGCGCCTGATTTCGCTTTAGATAATAGTGTCTTCCAGAGGCAAGTTCACTGCTGGCTATGTACTTGGTCCTTGCATTTCCCACTCTGAATTGTTGACAAAGATACATGTGCATCTACAGCCTGTTCTTAGTCATTGGAAAGTGAAGTTATGGGTTAAAAAGTTCTGGTCCCAGGTCCCTTTGGCATATGACACTCTTAATCATTTTATAAAGATTTGTTTATTTGAGAGGCAGAGTTACCAAAAGAGGGAGAGAGAGAGAGAGAGAAATCTTCATCTACTGCTTCACTCCCCCATATACTAGCAGTGGCTGGAGCTGGGCCAATCTGGAGCCAGGAGCTTCCTCTGGGTCTCCATGGAGTGCAGGGGGCCATGCACTTGGGCCATCTTCTGCTTTCCCAGACCACTAGCAGGGAGCTGGATCGGAAGTGGAGCGGCCAGGACATGAACCTACACCCATATGGGATGCCAATGCTGCAGGTGGAGGATTAGCCTGCTACGCCCCAGGTGCCAGCCTCACTCTGAATCATTTTTGCAAAGAGCCCTCCGCTTACCCGTCCCGCCTTGGCTGTACTTTCTCCGTTTTGACAGTTCACTCGGTGACACCTGCTGTGCAGTGTTCTTCCCCCTCGCCTCCAACACAGGTTGCCACCTGTCAGAATTCTCCAGACCCTGGGGCATTTGCTTGTCCTTTTGAAGGCCCAGCTCTGGTTTCCGCCTTCCAGGAGCCCTTGTAGTCAGGATTCTCCCTTGGGTCTCTTCCTTTCGTTTTGGTGTTTGGTGCGATGTTGCTCGTGAACTGTGCAAAAGTACTCTCGTGGGTGCGGCTACCACGTGTTCACGGTGGTGATGGCTTTGGACGCCGTCATACCTGAGACAGCACTGGACCTATAATCTCCTTGCTTGGTCCCTCTGCCAGAGACTGGGGCTGGGTTTTGTTTTTGATTTTAATTGTGCCACTAAAGAAAATAAAAAGCTTGCGTTTCTGTGGACTGTCATTTCAGCTGTGGCTTCACTGCTTTTGTTCGGCAGGTCCAAAAAATTCCAGTCCTTCATCGAGAGCTGCTTGGTGAAGAATCACAGCCAGCGGCCGGCCACCGAGCAGCTGATGAAGCACCCGTTTATCCGCGAGCAGCCCAACGAGCGCCAGGTCCGCATCCAGCTCAAGGACCACATCGACAGGACAAAGAAGAAGCGCGGGGAGAAAGGTCGGCCACCCGCTCGCATTGTGGAAGGGGAAGCCGAAGGCGGCTGAGTCAGGGCTCTTCCCAGGTGTGGAGGTGGCCGGGGGTTCTCGGCTGAGCCTGCACCGCGCTGTACCGCGAGGGGCTGTCTCTGCGGGCATCCGTGGGGTGAGACCGCCGCAGTGGGTCGTTCAGGAAAAAGCAGAACTGCGAGGAACATGACTCTTGAGGGCACTGAGCAAAGTCCTGTTCAGTGATACTATGAAGCACTCTCACATGACAAGTGATTCTCTTAATTCGAATGAATATTCATGCATGGAAGACTAAAAAGCTGCAGACAGACAACCATTAAAAAAAAAAGCATCCATCTAGTTGACATTTTTCTGTACTGACAGTCTTCAGCATTTCAGTCGGCCTGCTCTTGGGCTTCTTTCTAATTCAGCTATTTAGAAGTCAGAGGGAATTTTCTTACCGTTGCAGTGAAGGGAGAGATCATTAGGTTGCCAGGTTTGCTGTGTGCAACATCAGGTTTGGAGCCGAAGGTCAGTTAGTACACCTCTTTATTTCATGGGTGCAGAAGCGTCTCTCTCTTGACTCCGGTCCTTGTACCCTGCTGTCTTGTCACTGCATCACTGGGAAGGATATGAATCCAAACGTGCAGCCCTGGGGCTGAGTAGGGGGAGACCAGACCCGAGGTAGAGCCGTGTTAGCTCTTGCTTCCTCCTCTCCTGCAGCTCAGAGGGGGCAGACAGCACAATGCAGCACAGAGCTTTCCTCCTTTTGTTTACGTCTCCCTTCTTCTCTGCCTCTTTCACACAGTGAGGTATGAGCTGAGGCTTGGGAGGGGCAGGGGGAGCAGTGTGGGCGTTGGTGCTGGGCCAGAGGGGCCAGATCAGCAGAGGGCGCAGGTGGAAGGGGAGGTCCGGGGCAGGGCCTGTGAGGCACACCTGCAATGTGATCAGGTGTACTCCGCACGGGAGGCTCTGGCCTGGGCCAGAAGGAAGCCCCTTCCAGTTGTGGGTGGGCAGACAGGGATAAGCTAGCCGTCCACCTGGGCCTGAGGACAATTAGGAAGGTCAAGGTCAAAAACTCCCAGGACTGATTTTTCAGCTGTTTTTCATCCCTGGTGGTCGTGGGTCGCTCTGTGCAAAGATTTTAAGAGAGTATTCGCTCTCTGCAGAGTGGGAGGGGAAGATGCTCAGATGTCAGCGTGTTCAGGAGTTAGGTGGTCATTTAAGGAATCCAGAATAAGAGTTGTTGCCTCATTTTTGTCTGCTCCCCAAGGAATGCTCTGATCAAATGAGATCTCAGTGCTTTGGCTCTGTTTGGTCAGATGGCTATGTTGCTTCCTCCAATCATTTTTCACTCTCTTACTAGCTGTCTCTCTGACCAACTTTGGTAGAACCAAGCAATTTTACTTTCCATTGCATTATGATTTATTTGAAAGGGAGAGACAGAGAAGGAGATCTTCCTCCATTAGCTCGCTCCCTAAATGGCCACAGCAGCCAGAGTTGGCCCAGGCTGAAGTCAAGAGCCTGGAACTCTATCTGGGTCTCCCTTGTGGGCATAAGGGCCCACAAGGCTTTTTCTTTATGCTGCTTTCCAATTAACAGGAGGCTGGACTGGAAGCAGAGTAGCCAGGACTCAAACTGGCACTCAGATGTGGGATGCCAGCGTCACAGGTGGTAGCCTAACCAGCTAAGCCATAACACTGGCCCCTACTGTATGATTTCTTAGCCTTGTATTTTTTTTTCCTTAAGATATGTTGACACATGCTAATTTAACCCAGTTATATGGAAGCAATCAGACCAAATTCTAGAGAAGTATTAAAATTGAAGAGCCTGAAATGTGAAGGTTTTTACCCTCGAGAGAAGGAGTAACAACGATGTTTATTAGGTAAAATTCTTGCATTGTGTTTTGAACTCTGTGTGTCCATTTCAGGAAAGTTTGGAGGTAAAACTGTCAGTGTAGAGTATTACAGCACTTTTATACAGGTTGTTCACGTTTTGGTAAAAGAATACCTTAAAAATAAGGAGCCTAGAAACATACATATCTAAGTGAATGAAGCTAATTTGTAACTTAACGAAAAAATACTTGAACTCATCACCCTTTTGCCTATCTTTCATTATCTCTTTATTAGTGCAAAAGGCAAGGCTCCTTTATCAAACCTGAGTTACACCATGTGACTGCTGCCTCCTGGTGGTAATGTAACTAAATTGCAGTTTCAGTTGCTTTCGAGGGAGTACGTAGATGTCCTCAGGGTTGTAATTCCTAGCGTACAGCTATGGAGATGTAGGAGTGAGGTGACGTTGTCCCTTGTTTGCAAGTTCCTCGTGGTCCACAGAAAAGTCCTCAGGATGGCATATGCAAGCGTCATGAGCTATTGCACCCCTGCTGGCCTTTCTCTCATCTGTTTTGCCTGCATCCAGATGCGTGGCCACCCACAGCCCACTGTTTGCTGAACATGCCATGCACTGTAATACTGCCATCCTTTTTCGTGTGGGTACATGCCTTGGGATGCTATTTCCCCCACACACTTGCAGCTTCCGGCTGCCTGAGGAAGCAGTACCTTCAAAGGCCCGGCCCATTTCCTCCTCAGAGACTTCACTGTCCATTACAAAGGGTAGAACTGTCTACTTTCCTCTCTGATAGCTCATTGCTGCTTTCATGTACCACTAGTTGGGGTATAATGTGTTGGAAAGAGCACTAGTTTTTTTACAATTGGAAAAGTTCGGGATCGAATTCTGAATCCAAATGGGCCTTTATTAGTGTGATGACATTGACCAAAGCTCAAAGCTCTTAACCTCGTGTAATCTGAGTGCCCTTGCTTGCGAAGGAGCACTGTTTCAGGGGAATGTTACGTGAAATAAATGAGAAGCTATAGGTAAAGTATCTAGCATTGATACTGACCTGGGGGAGAGAGAACAAATGTTCGTTCCCGTGCTTCACAGTCATGGGGACCCTGATTATTTACCCCTCTTGCCTGTTAGATTCTTATCTCCTCCAAGGCAAAGATTCAGTCTTACTCATTTTTACATAAGAACTTGCTTCACGTTATCCCAAATTAAATGAATGTCCCTGCTGGTCAATGAAACCAAACTGTGACTGTGTATTTTTAATAGCTGTCAGAAGTTTCTTTCCAGTAGTTATTAAGACATCAAAAGGCAATTTGTGGGCCTTTGGAAGGCATAGTAAAAACCCTGCTTTAAGAGGAAAAGTCATTCACTGATGAATGAGTTATAATGGGGCAGTGAGTTAGATGCAGGTGGCTTTATAATGGGGGTTACCTCAAACAGAAAGGTCATTTTCCGTTCCCTCTCTTGTCTTTCTCCTGAAGATTAGGCATTGGAGATGGACCCCTAGAGGCAGCTGGTAGGAACTGCCTGAATCGTGAGTCAGGAGGCTTGAAGTTTATCCCAGCTCAGGAATAACCACAACCCTTTGGGCCTCTGTGTGCTTATAACAGTCATACACATCACCTAACAACAGGGATACGTCCTGAGAACTGCAATGTTAGGTGATTTTGCATTGCATGTACGTCTTGGGGTGCATACATGCACCCAACTAATATTAGTGAATCACTCAACAACGTGGCCTGTTGGTACAGTGAAGAGCTGTGGAAAACCCACTTTGAAGAGTTCATGGAAATTGAAACGAAATGATAAATTCATTTTGATGCAAAAAAAAATTTGTACATAGCGTTTTCATGGTATTTATTTTCCATGAACTTTTTGAAGATCCTTGGTGGGCACCGATTTCAAAATTTTTTACACTGAAATAAGCTTATCTTTTAATAAATTCTGTTTTTCTGTGAACGTGTTGAAGTTCCTTGAGATGCAGCTGCTGCTGTTGGCATAACACAGTGTCCTGTTTTACAGTAAACTTGTTCAATAAGTAGAAGTGTGTCCTAAAATAACAGTAAAAAGAGTAGCACAGTCACTAATTCAGAATTGCACGTGCTTGACTCGCCTGTCAGTCCATAGGTCTGTTGGCGTGGACGTCACCACAAACACGTCCTAAGGGGATGGCTATTTTCAGCTCTATGGCAATAGGCGTCCTTCCTATGCGCTGTCCACCACCGAGCCAGCCACCACCCCCGGGGCCCATCAGCACACACACAGGAGGGGTTGGAGCTCACCAGGCACAGCGCTTCCTGTGCACTGACCTCCCGTGCGTCTCTCTCTAGATGAGACTGAGTACGAGTACAGCGGAAGTGAGGAAGAGGAGGAGGAGAACGACTCGGGAGAGCCCAGGTGAGGCAGCGGCCGCCAGCTCTCAGGTGCACCTTCCCAGCCGTGCGTGTGTGAGACTTGCTTCCCTTTTGATTTATAGACTTGCCTTTAAGAATCCACAGGGGTGGGAGGGGGGAGTCTTATCTAATGTATTGCCCACAAATATACTCATTAATTTGGGAAAGAGTTCTCGAGGCAGACTCTCGTGAACACAAGAAAATCAGCATATCCTTTCTCTTGTCCCCCAAGGTCAGTGGTTTCTTTGCTAAGCTGTTTGCTCACGTAGGTAACCCGTAGACTGTGTGGGAGACAGTTGTCTTGGTGATGCAGAACTACAAGTACTCCGAACTACAACTTCCTGGAGACCTAAATGTGTTTCAGGCTTGGGTTACCCTGTCCATTTCTTCTCACCTCGGAGAAGCCCATGTAGACAGCCGTTGTCCTTGTCACATGCCGTGGTATGCTCACCACAGCCCAATCTAGGAAGAAGTGATTTCCAGAAAGTGAAATTACCCTCTAGAGGCGAACCGTTAATAGAAACTGGTGCACCATGGCTGCTGTCACGTGCCACCCCCCCGGAATCCAGGGCTGCTTTTCCAGTGCCCGCCCTGCGACATGGACTTCAGTTGGCTGTGTTGAAAGAGAACTGACACCGGTGTGCCCACACTGCTGGGATTACTCCTTTGTGAGAGCACTCAGCCGGCACAGGCTGGCAAGGCAGGGGGCAGCACGCGGGCCACAGTGCTGTGCACTGGGGGTGTGACGCTGGATCAAAACGGGGAAGCAATCAGGCAGAGGATCATGGTGGGGGGGGTCTATGGGCCCTCCCCCGCCCAGCCACATGAGGGTGGCTCAGTGCCCCAGGAGAAGGACTTCCCAGAGCAAGGAAGGGGCCAGCGTAGCCACTGCTGCTAGAGTGAGCAACACCAAGCGTTCTTTCTGGAGCTAACTCAGACCCACCAATTCGGTTCTTGCTAAGCTGCCGCAAGAGGGTGGACTGAGCTTGCAGCACCATCTCGTGTTCTCTCTTCCCCTGCCACAGGATCCTTTAGTCAAAGACCAAAGGAGAATTCTTTCCTTCCATCCGATATGTACCTTGTCAGCTGCCCCCAGGTCAGCTGCGTGAAGACGACAGCTGTCAGCAGCGGCGTGGACAGTGGGCATTCCTGTGAGGCCAGGGACAAAGGCCCTGCTGTCAGAGCTGCAGACCGTGTCCCAAGGCCGGCCGTGGCAGCCTGCAGGCCACGTTCTGTCGAGCTGAGGAATCTTGTCTTTCCAACACGTGTCCAGCTGCATGTTAGCTGTCAGTAGCAGGCCAGTCTGGCCAGCCCGAACACGTGTGCCCTGATATCACACTGAAGAATAGGCGCCAAGTCCTGTTTTTATAGCCACATTGGATTAGTCTTCGTGAAACCCTGAAAACGAGAAAGGGAAAGTGGTTATCTGACTTTTTATTTATTTATTTTTTAAATTTATTTGAAAGGCAGAGATGGGCCTGTGTTGTGGCACAGTGGGTTAAGCCACTGCCTGTGATGCCAGCATCCCAAATGGGTGCTGATTCAAGGTCCCAATGGCTGCTCCACTTGTGATCCAGCTCCCTGCTAATGTGCCTGGGAAAGCAGCACAGGATGGCCAGAGTATTTGGGCCCTGCACCCATGTGGGAGACTCAGAAGAGGCTCCTGGCTTCAGATCGGCCCAGCTCCAGCCATCTGGGGAGTGAACCAACAATTGGAAAATAACTCTCACTCTCACTCTCTCTTCCTCTCCCCCCCTCATGACTCCACCCCCTTCCTCCCTTTCCCTCCTGGTTTCTCCATCCTTCTCCTTCCCCCTCTCTCTGAAACGCTGCCATTCAAATAAATAAAACAGATCTTTTTCTTTTTTTAAGTTAAGACAGCAAGAGAGGGAGAGACTGAGACAGAGACCAGAGAGAGACAGACACACCTTCTGTCCTCTGATTTCCATCCATTCCCAAATGGCCCAAAGAACCAGGTCTGAGCCAGGCTGAAGCCAGAAGCCTGGAACTCCATGCTGGTCTCCCATGTGGGTGGCAGGTGCCCCAGTACTTGGGCCATCCTATGCTGCCTTCCCAGGTCATTAGCAGGGAGCTGGATGAGACAGAGGAGTAGTTAGGACTCAAAGTGGCACACTCGTATTGGATGTCAGCATTGTAAGTGGCAGCTTAACCCACTGTGTCACAACACTGGCCCGGTTACTCCATTTCAGAGATGAGGTGACAAGTGAAGGGTGACAGCCAGGTGTCACGCAGAGTTCATGACTTGAGTTACTAATGCAGCTCAGATCTGACACTGATGCCACGTCAGTTACCAGCAGTGAGCATCCTTGTGTGAGGCTGGGTTCCCCTGCCCCATCGCCTTTGCACGTTGCAAGTAGGTGGGCCTGGGTGTGTTTGGGAGGTTGCCACAAAGGCAGGGCAAAAGTTCTGGAAGAGGCGCGTGACCCGGCTGTCTGTGGGACGTCACCAACAAAGCCTGTTTCCATCATTCAGTGCCCCATGCCCCACAGGACACGCCAGCCACACCCCAGAACCATGCTCCATCCTCTCTCCTATGGTCTACCAAACTGCCCCTCCCACACACACCCACCCCCAGCACCCAGGTAGCCCTGACCTTTGCCCCATGGGCATCCTGACGGCTGTCTCTGTCCGCAGCTCCATCCTGAACCTGCCAGGGGAGTCGACACTGCGGCGGGACTTCCTGAGGCTCCAGCTGGCCAACAAGGAGCGGTCGGAGGCCCTGCGGCGGCAGCAGCTGGAGCAGCAGCAGCGGGAGAACGAGGAGCACAAGCGGCAGCTGCTGGCTGAGCGCCAGAAGCGCATCGAGGAGCAGAAGGAGCAGCGCCGGCGGCTGGAGGAGGTGAGGGCCCCGCCAGGGCCACCTCTGCACCTGTCTGTCAGCAGTGGTCACGCTGGGTGCCCACAGCGGGCCCAGACCCCACCCTGGAGCTTCTCCATAGCTCTTGTTGCTTCAAGCATGCACACAATGTTCTTTTATCTGTCTGCATCTCCCTGCTCAATGATCCATGCAGAGAACCCGGGATTTCCCTCTTGGATTCCCAGACGTGTCTCCAGCATGCTAGCTAGCTTTCTGTCATGAAGCAGGTGCCTCACAAGTATGAGACTTTGTGGAATGAGCAGGTCAATGATTGAGAGGTGAAATACAGGTGTTAGCTAGACCACCGTGAACAGGGAAATAAGTGACACGCTAAGCATGGCCTGCTACTGGGACTCTGGTGCTCACTGGGCCTGGGGCTTCCCAAGCCTGCCTACCTACCCTACATACCTACAGCTGACCCTTTCTGGGGGCCAGGCCTGGCTTCACAGCAGGCTCAGCTGTCACCTGTGGGAGACCCCACTGGCAGCCGCATTTCCCTCTGTGGCCTCTCTTGGGTGAGGCTCTCACCTTCGTTTCCTACAGATTGTATTCATTCTTCTCTCTCTGGTCCTTGCCCTTGTCCCCAAGGCCTCCCTCCTCTGCCAGATCTGTCACAGCCTCTAGATGATTAGGAACTGGGGAGTGTTGGGCAAATGGGGCAGCACAGGAAAGATTCGCTAACTGCCCAGGAACGGGGCCGTAGTCTCCCGACAGCAGCTTGCTGAATGGGTTGACAGCCGTTCACTTGCTTTGTCAGTGGCCACTGCGGAGTCACAGGGTGGTGAATCACAGGTACCAGGAGCAGGTTGCTTTCTAAATGCTACGTCAAGGTCCAGCCTGCATGCTTTAGTGCGGTGAGGGCCTCAATTCCAGTGTGCAGTAGATCCTATCAGCCTCGTTATGTTTCTGGAATATTAGCTTCAGACCAGCAACAACAAGGCCCAAGAGTTGCAGTTATTGAGTGGTTTCTGTACGCCAACTACCAGGCAGGGGGCTTTGCTTATATCCAGGATCTCCTTATCTCTGTGCGGGGGCCCATTATCCCCGTGCCTCGTGCAAAGTGCATATCACATGCCTCTCCTACCCCAGCCCACCTTTAGCAAAGAGGTTCCGGGAGGGGAAGTGACTGATGCCATGCTGCAGGGGTGCTAAGTGCAAAGCCAGGATTCATACCCAGGTCTCTCCAATCCCAATGTCCACGCAGGCCTTACTGAGACAGTGAGTTAGGGGTGCATGATGCAACCTTGAACTGTGACCCTGAACCTTCCTGCCAGCAGCAGGAAGCAAGTGAAGCACTTTCCAGCCTAAATCTGTGCTGTCAGCATGGTCAATGCTTAGCACACATCACCTCCTATCTTATGGTCTAAGGTTTACAGGGCGGTGGACAGAGATGCTGTGTGGCAGAGACTTCAAAGGCAGGCTCGAGTGACGTGTGGTGTTTGTAGGCAGCTCCTGGAAGTCTGCACAAAGTGCCATAACCTGTGGTCACCTCCCAGGCACCTCCTGACAGCCACGCAGGCCAGCTGTGGCCTCTCATACAGGCCCCAGCCCAGGGCCATGCTGTGCCCTCCTGTCTGCCAGGTCTCCTGAGGACTCGTGGCCTCTGTCTTTGGGTTCAAGGCCTACTCCTTCAGACTAAGGGTCAAACTTCTGTCCCCAGCCCAGGCGGTCCCCTCCCAGGCTCTGTCAGCAGAACATACCTTGTCTGCTTCCGCCCTGGCTGGTGGTTCCCCTCTTTCAAGAGCATCTCCCCAGGCCCCCTATCCTGAAAACCCTGACCACATGCCTCTGCCCTGTTCAGAATAGTGCAGCCTGGGCCTGGAGATTTGTTGTGCTTGGCTGCAGGCCGCAGTCATCTACCATGTCACCTGGGGAAATTCCCACTGTCATCCCATTAAGCATCTAGGATGCACACATACACACATGTCTACACATTTCCTTAAATTTCCACGCAAGAACTCTCAGCCTCTGGACCTACACCCTCCATCAGAGCGACGTCTTTTCAGAAGCTGCATTGTTTGATTTGGTTTTTAGGTTCTCTTCCCTTCATATCTGATATGATTTATCTGAGCTTAACACATGGACATCAGGTCATGAGAGCAATACTTTCAAATAGGTACGGAGCTTTTAACATGTGATAGTTACTCTCTCTGCTCAGCTCTTCCCTGAATGATCTCACTCACTCCTTGTAATAATCCCCGGTCTAACGATAAGACAGCTGAGGCCACGAGAGGTTAATGACTAGCCAAAGGTCACCCAGCTTGAGATGAAACCAAGGTTCAAACCCAGCACATGGGACTGCAGCGCCCAAGCACCAAATTGCTGCCTGCAGGCACCCTGCCCCTGGGATGATGGGCCATAGCTAGCTGGCTTTTACTCTGGACACTGGAGGATTTCTGAGCAAAGGCAGGGAAGCTGTGCCCAGCAGGTGCTTGTCTTTGAGCCGAGTTCTGTCTCATGTTCCCCGGGGGAGCCACTGCTGGAGCCTCCTATGTAACTCTTCTCTTGTAGCATTTCCTGGCATCTCATCATGGGCATGAGTCAGGGTTCAGCTAAGTGAGGCCTGTGCGCCTGTACAGGTGCACTCTGTGGGCCCTGGCTTGCATAGAAGGTTTTGGGGGAGGACCCCTGTGCCCTGTGCAGCAGAGAGCATGAGCCCAGGCTTCTTCCTAGAAGTGGGCGTGCCAAGGTCACGGGAAGTAATAGACTGTAGCAGCTTTATCCTTTGATCCTTTATCTCACCCAATAGCTTAATGGGGAAGAAAAAGAAATACTAACTCCTTGGATGAGTATAGATTCTGAACCCCTAAGTGCCCACATGCTGTCCTGTGGCAACCACTTGTGTTTCTGGGGTCTTGAGTAAGAACTTGGACGACATTGTCACACAGAAACAGCTCAACGCCCGTAGTTCAACTGGGAAATGTAGCTTCGCTGTGCAGGCTTTTGTGGGCGTCCTGGGAAATACATTTCCATTTGCAAACACGGGTTCTCCCACTACCCCTTAGGCAGCACATGACCGTGTGGGTTGCAGCCTTCAAGTCTGGGGCGCTCAGAGGTCACCTTCCAGCAGAGATTCTGAGGAAGACGTCCTCTGCTATTTATGGCAGCCCTGGGGATTGGGCGAGCTCCTGAATCCCTGTCTACATGTTCTTGGAAGGACTTAGACTACACCCAAGCATAGGCATTTATCAGCTTTTTGAAAAGGGCATGGCGTCAGGCCAGTTACGTGGTGAGGACAAGACTCGGCTTTTGACCAGGGATCAAGTACAACCTATTAACTAAGTTCCAGGAACATGATTCAGCCCAGTGAAGCAACTACCTCTTCTGATGTTACTTGGTCCATTGGGCATTTCTTCTCCTTGGCTTAGAGCACAGCTGGTGCATTCTGGGTAAGTTAGGCCCTCGAGATGTGGCGACTCCTACTCTGGTAATCTCATCAGACTAAGCTGGAGCAGACGCACAGTGATGTGTGATTCTGCTCAAGACTTTTCAAATCATATCAGTGACTGATATATTCGATTCAGTGTTTGCTAAGAGCATTCTATGCCCTCAAGTCGAGGGAATGAATCAAATTGACTTCAGGAGCACCAGCCTGCTTCATAGGAGTAAATTGTATTCTCTCTAGGGAATTTTTCAACCCACCAAGGTCTCATTTAGTGCCCTTCAAGGCCATCATAGCATTGTCCAATTATCAAAGCAACCAGTTTGAGCTGGAAAACACACTGCTTTGATTCCATCACCTGAAGTTTTCAAAAATAGAACCACTGCCTGTTTCTCATTGGCCAGTAATAGTGGAGCAGTAATGCACAAAATAGAGCCTGCAGTGAAAACTGCGAATTCCCTGTGAGCCTTGAACTTTTTTTTTATTGTGAATCACTAGGGGCTTTCAAGGACGATGGGCCTATTTGCTTTGCAAAAGTGGAAGGTAGAATTAAACTCTTTTTTTATGCCCACAGGCAGTCATTCAACAACTACTTAGCAGATGCCTCTGTGGCGCAGGCGCTGTACTGGACACTGGGATTGCAGTCTGCCCTGGCAGAGACAAGAGCTGTGAGGGAAAGGGGAATTCAGCAAGTCGGGGAACACAACCCCAGCCCCCATGGGTCAGAACCTGGCTGGAGGAGGGGAGAGGGGCACCTGGAGATGCTGGGTGGTGAAGCCCAGAGAAGGTTGTGCAGGGCCCTGCAGGCGAAGCGCATTACTTTGGGATCTTACTCTAAGCAGAGTGGAAAGCCGCTGGTGTGCTTCAACCACAGGACCATGCCCTGACCTACCTTTTGAAACTGGAATGTTGGCTGCTGCAAAGAAAGTGACTGCAGGCGCAGGAGTGGGTGCAGAGAGCAGTAAGGTCTGGCCCGAGTGGGTGCTGCTTGGTGTCGAGTGGGGCTTGAGAACTTGGACACAGCACAGGGAGCTCTGGCCTTTGGAAGGTGCAGGACATCAGAGATGAGCGGGAGTGGCAGTCACAGAAGCGTGCCTGATGTCGCACTGGAGTGTCAGGTGGAGGACCAGCGTCAGTATGGGAGGAGAGGCTAAGGTCAACTCGGCACGAGAGGAGAGTGAGGTGACTGAGGCGGCCAGTGGTGACTGCACGTGTGTAGTAGGGTGATGTAGAAAGGGAGGATGTCATTAAGAGAAAACAATGTCTACCAGATTTCCCACGGCCAGTTAGTGGGTGAGCGTAGAGGTAAAGTACCCAGCTTTGTGGACCAGAAAGCTTAGGCTTAATCTTAGCTCTGTGGCCTTGAGCAAATTCCCTCCCCTCTGAGCCCCAGCTTCCTTATATGCACATTTGATACAATCATATTCATCTTGCAGGAGTGTCGATGTAAATGAAACCGTAGATACAGAAGGCCTGACACACGTCTAACTCAGAAACAAGTGAGATGGTTGAGATTGTGGGGTGATTATATTGTTATTTTAGAGCAGATGTTCTCAAAGCATTTGTTTTTTATTTTAGTGGTTATATCTATAGATAGCAT